TGATGGGCGTGGGTTATTCCTCCTCATTTCTCCCGCCAGCCACTTCCCAATTTAGCTTGTCTGTTTCCAAAGGCATCGCTCTTGGTTTCCTAGGCTGCCTTCAAGTTGGGTGGTTGAGACCCGAAGTTGCTTCAGATTGATTTCAGGACAACTGCATTTTGGGAAGGTGGTGTAATGCAGGATGGTGTGCAATACATCAGTCATAAGGCTGCTCAGGGGGTGGGATTACAGCCTATGTTGGATGGGGTCACACTCCCCTTGAAGACACAGGTTCGCAGTTTGGGGGTGATCCTGGACTCATTGCTGACCCTGGAATCCCAGGTGTTGGTGGTGGCCAGGTGCTCCTTCATAGAATCATAGAATCAAAGAGTTGGAAGAGACCTCATGGGCCATCCAGTCCAACCCCATTCTGCCAAGAAGCAGGAATATTGCATTCAAATCACCCCTGACAGATGGCCATTCAGCCTCTGTTAATCATAGAATCATAGAATCAAAGAGTTGGACGAGACCTCATGGGCCATCCAGTCCAACCCCATTCTGCCAAGAAGCAGGAATATTGCATTCAAATCACCCCTGACAGATGGCCATCCAGCCTCTGTTTAAAGCTTCCAAAGAAGGAGCCTCCACCACACTCCGGGGCAGAGAGTTCCACTGCTGAACGGCTCTCACAGTCAGGAAGTTCTTCCTCATGTTCAGATGGAATCTCCTCTTGTAGTTTGAAGCCATTGTTCCGCGTCCTAGTCTCCAAGGAAGCAGAAAACAAGCTTGCTCCCTACTCCCTGTGGCTTCCTCTCACATATTTATACATGGCTATCATATCTCCTCTCAGCCTTCTCTTCTTCAGGCTAAACATGCCCAGCTCCTTAAGCTGCTCCTCATAGGGCTTGTTCTCCAGACCCTTGATCATTTTAGTCGCCCTCTTCTGGACACGTTCCAGCTTGTCAATATCTCTCTTGAATTGTGGTGCCCAGAATTGGACACAATATTCCAGGTGTGGTCTAACCAGAGCAGAATAGAGCATGGGGAGCATGACTTCCCTAGATCTAGACACTAGGCTCCTCTTGATGCAGGCCAAAATCCCATTGGCTTTTTTTGCCGCCACATCACATTGTTGGCTCATGTTTAACTTGTTGTCCACGAGGACTCCAAGATCTTTTTCACACGTCCTGCTCTCAAGCCAGGCATTGTCCCCCATTCTGTATCTTTGCATTTCGGTTTTCCTGCCAAAGTGGAGTATTTGCATTTGTCACTGAACTTCATTTTGTTAGTTTTGGCCCATCCCTCTAATCTGTCAAGATTAGTTGAAACTTGTGTGCCAGTTGCACTCATACCTTGAGGTGCCAGTCTTGACTATAGTCGTCCACGCCTTACTGACATCCCGTCTGGACTACTGCAATGCTCTCTACATGGGGCTGCCCTTGAAGACAGTTCAGAAGCTGCAATTGGGCAGCTAGATGGGCTAACTTTGTTAACTGGAGCACCGTGCCATGAGAGGACACCTCCCATGGTGCAACAGCTCCACTGTTTGCTGGTCTGCTTCCAGGCTAAATACAACGTGCTGGTCATTGGCAACCTGTGTTGGATGGGGTTACACTCCCCCTGAAGTCACAGGTCCGCAGTTTGGGTGTCCTCCTGGATTCATCACTTACGCTTGAGGCTCAGGCGTCGGCAGTGGCCGGGAGGGCTTTTGCACAATTGAAACTCGTGCGCCAACTGCAACCGTATCTCGCAAATGCTGATATTGCCGGGGTGGTCCATGCCTTGGTCACCTCTAGATTGGACTACTGTAATGCACTCTACGTGGAGCTGCCCTTGAAAACGGTTCGGAAATTCCAACTGGTCCAATGGTCAGCGGCCAGGCTGTTAACTTGTGCTCCTTACAGAGAGAGGTCAACCCTCCTGTTTAAGGAGCTCCATTGGCTGCCGTTCATCTTCCGGTCCCAATTCAAGGTGCAGGTGCTCACCTACAAAGCCCTGAACGGTCTGGGACCTGCCTACCTGCGTGACCGCATTTCCATATATGAACCCACACGATCCCTTCGATCATCTGGAGAGGCCCTGCTCACGATCCCACCTGCGTCGCAAGCGCGTTTGGTGGGGACGAGGGACAGGGCCTTCTCTGTGGTGGCCCCCCCCCCCCCGACTCTGGAACTCTCTCCCCAAGGACATCAGACAAGCCCCAACGTTGGCAGTCTTTAGGAAGAGCCTGAAGACCTGGCTGTTCCAGTGTGCATTTCCAGAATAGGAACTCCTAGCATCGTGTCCCAATTGCACTTCATTAGAGATTTAGGATTGTCTGCCCATCGCACCTACCTTCAAAAACCTCTGCATTTTACCTGTCATGTCCAGCACTTTTAAATTTTGTCCATTACATTTGGCCCGTCCTTAGGTTTTAAATCCACCATAGTGTCATGTTTTTAGTGTTTTATTGTTTTGCTTGATGTTTTATTATTTGCTTTATGAGTTTTACTGTTGTATTTGTTATGCTGTTGTTTTGTTGTGGCCTTGGCCTTTGTAAGCCGCATCGAGTCCTTTGGGAGATGTTAGCGGAGTATAAATAAAGTTAGTTAATTAATTAATTAATTAACCAAAAAGCCCTAAACAAGTGTTTCTCAACCTTCCTAATGCCACGACCCCTTAATGCAGTTCCTCATGTTGTGGTGACCCCCAACAATAAAATTATTTTTGTTGCTACTTTATAACTGTCATTTTGCTACTGTTATGAACCGTAATGTAAATACCCGATATGCAGGATGTATCCTAATTCACTGGACCAAATTTGGCACAAATACCCAATACACTCAAATTTGAATACTCATGGGGTTGGGGAGGGATTGATTTAGTCATTTGGGAGTTGTAGTTGCTGGGATTTATAGTTCACCTACAATCAAGAGCATTCTGAACTCCACCAGCGATTGAATTGAACCAGTCTTAGCACACAGAACAACCATGACCAACAGAAAATACTGGAAAGGTTTGGTGGGCATTGACTTTGAGTTTGGGAGTTGTAGTTCACCTACATCCAGAGATGTACAACGATAGATCTGGACCAAACTTGGCACAAATACTCAATATGCCCAAATGTGAACACTGGTAGAGTTTGGGGAAAATAGACCTTGGCATTTGGGAGTTGTAGTTGCTGGGATTTATAGTTCACCTACAATCACAGAGTCCCTTGAACCCCACCAATGCTGCCATGGGCAGAGCACACCTCCCTGCTTGCCTGCTTGGAGTCGCAAAAATAGCACTCCCCTTGCCTGAGAGGCTGGCCAATTACTGCAGGAGCGTTTTGGTGGGAAGATTCGCCATCTGTTTCCAAAAAGGAAGAGAAGGGCAGGCGGAGAGATCTTCTGCCTTCTCTGCCAAAGGGGTTCCTAAGACCATCAGAAATATGTGCTTTCCGATAGTCTTTGACGACCCCTCTGAAACCTCCCTTGTGACCCCCCCAGGGATCCCGACCCCCAGGTTGAGAAACCATGAAACCATGAAAATGAACAAAATCTTGCTCCCAATATTTAAAAACACTCTAAAATCAGGGCAGTAAATAAAGAGAAACATCCCAAAAATGGGAATTCCAGACAAGAATCAATCAGGGTCACCTCCCGACAAAGAATTTCCCCAGGCAGCAACCAGCCAAGCTTTGAAGCTGCAAGGCCATTAAATGCTAATCAAGGTGGCCTATTGTGACATTCCCATTTGCCTCTAGAGTTCTTTCTCCCACCCTGGACATTCCACAGATATATAAACCCCACTTGCCCAGTTTCCAACAGACCTCACAACCTCTGAGGATGACTGTCCTAGATGTGGGCAAAACGTCAGGAGAGAATGCTTCTGGAACATGGCCATTCCGCCTGGTAACCTAGTGATTCTGACCACGAAAGCCTTCAACAACACTTTATAGAAGACTGTTTGTCAAAAACATTTGAGTGGAATAATCTAAGTCTATTTACCTTTTGCCTGCCATAAATGTGGGCAAAACATCAGGAGAGAATGCTTCTGGAACATGGCCATTCCGCCTGGTAACCTAGTGATTCTGACCACGAAAGACTTCAACAACACTTTATAGAAGACTGTTTGTCAAAAACATTTGAGTGGAATAATCTAAGTCTATTTACCTTTTGCCTGCCATAAATGTGGGCGAAACAACAGGAGACAATGCTTCTGGAACATGGCCATTCCGCCTGGTAAACTCACAGCAACCTAGTGATTCCGACCACGAAAGACTTCAACAACACTTTATAGAAGACTGTTTGTCAAAAACATTTGAGTGGAATAATCTAAGTCTATTTACCTTTTGCCTGCCATAAATGTGGGTGAAACAACAGGAGAGAATGCTTCTGGAACATGGCCATTCCACCTGGTAAACTCACAGCAACCTAGTGATTCCGACCACGAAAGACTTCAACAACACTTTATAGAAGACTGTTTGTCAAAAACATTTGAGTGGAATAATCTAAGTCTATTTACCTTTTGCCTGCCATAGATGTGGGTGAAACATCAGGAGAGAATGCTTCTGGAACATGGCCATAGCAGCCCGGAAAACGCACAGCAACCCAAGTCTTCTATAAACCATGTATATTCCCATATAGTGTACTATACAACAGTTGTATGTCCCATGTTGACGTTTATGGCATAACTTCAAAGGAGACGTGACAATATTTTTCCAGTTTTGAGCCTATAACATTCTCGCTTCAATAATCCTGTATTGCAGTATTTTAGCGTATAGTCACAATTAGAACCCTGTTTGGTTTGTGAAACAATACTAAAATAATTGTGGAATTATTATTGTTTTGAATTATTTTTTACTATTGAAACCATTGTTGTTATATTATAACTTTAAAGGAGACATGACAATATTTTTCCAGTTTTGAGCCTATAACATTCTCGCTTCAATGATCCTGTATTGCAGTATGTTAGCGTGCATTGGTTTTGTAGCCCTAACAAAAAAAATATGATGTTTTGATGCCTGGTATTCTGTTCCTTTTGTTCACCCTCTCCAGGTATAAATGCTCAGGCCAGGAAGCTCCAGCGGAACCGCGCCAAAGGCACCATGACGCTGTTGACGGGATGCAAAGGCCACACCACGCCACCCGCCCTCCGCCGCACGGTCAGCGAGACCAGCCTCAGCCAGGCGGGCATGATGCAGGACAACGGGCAGGAAGAGCAGCAGCAGCAGCAGCAGCTCAAGCGGCATTACTCCACGTTGCCGGAGACGTTGTGGTGCCTGGAAAGCAGCCGGGATGGGCCACCCATCCCCACGGATGACCAGAACGGCAACAACATGCGGCACTCCTTGTATCAGTCCCCACACCTCCTGCTTTTGCAGGGCTACAGCCAGCAACACGTATGTTGGGTCCTTTGTTCCTCTTGGCTTCGCTTGATCCAAGTCCCGTCTCTTTTTGAAGCTCCCTCCCTCCCACTCAGAAGAAAGCAGCGTGGCTGTCAAACTGAGCTGGAGTGGAATGGTAGCCATTTTTAATAAGGGTTTACTGCACAAGAGAATGGGGCGGCCATTTTTAATAGAGCCTTACTGTAAGCCTCTATTTAAAAGTCTTGCTCTTTTGTGTAGTTAGGTAGAAGAAAAACCACTGCAAACTCCTCTAGCACAATACCTTTGGCCATGACCAGATTCTGCTGCTGCTTGGCCAAAAAAGCACTCCCAGCAGAAGGCCATACAGTCTTTGTAATAACAACAGCAACAATAATAACAATAATAGGAGCAGCCCCAGGGGCCATCTAGTCCAACCCTCTTTATTCTGCCATGCAGGAAAAGCACAATCAAAGCACCCCCAGCAGAAGGCCATACAGTCTTTGTAATAACAACAGCAACAATAATAACAATAATAGGAGCAGCCCCAGGGGCCATCTAGTCCAACCCTCTTTATTCTGCCATGCAGGAAAAGCACAATCAAAGCACCCCCAGCAGAAGGCCATACAGTCTTTGTAATAACAACAGCAACAATAATAACAATAATAGGAGCAGCCCCAGGGGCCATCTAGTCCAACCCTCTTTATTCTGCCATGCAGGAAAAGCACAATCAAAGCACCCCCAGCAGAAGGCCATACAGTCTTTGTAATAACAACAGCAACAATAATAACAATAATAGGAGCAGCCCCAGGGGCCATCTAGTCCAACCCTCTTTATTCTGCCATGCAGGAAAAGCACAATCAAAGCACCCCCAGCAGAAGGCCATACAGTCTTTGTAATAACAACAGCAACAATAATAACAATAATAGGAGCAGCCCCAGGGGCCATCTAGTCCAACCCTCTTTATTCTGCCATGCAGGAAAAGCACAATCAAAGCACCCCCAGCAGAAGGCCATACAGTCTTTGTAATAACAACAACAGTAATAACAATGTATTGTCGAAGGCTTTCATGGCTGGAATCACTGGGTTATTGTAGGTTTTTTCGGGCTATATGGCCATGGTCTAGAGGCATTCTCTCCTGACATTTCGCCTGCATCTATGGCAACCTACCTCTGAGGATGCTTGCCATAGATGCAAGCAAAACGTCAGGAGAGAATGCCTCTAGACCATGGCCATATAGCCTGAAAAAACCTACAACAACCCAGTAACAACAATAATAACAACAACAATAATAGGAGCAACTCCAGGGGCCATCTAGTCCAATCCCCTTTATTCTGCCATGCAGGAAACGCACAATCAAAGCACTCCCAATAGAAGGCCATACAGTCTTTGAAATAACAACAACAGTAATAACAATAATAACAACAACAATAATAGGAGCAACCCCAGGGTCATCCAGTCCAACCCCTTTCTGCAATACAGGAAAAGCACAAAGTACCTGTAACAGATGGCCATCCAACCTTTGTAGTAGTAATAATAATAGGAGCAACCCCAGGGGCCATCCAGTCTAACCCCTTTCTGCAATACAGGAAAAGCACAATCAAAGTATAAAAGCACAAAGTGCCCCTGGCAGATGTCAATTCAGCCTCTGTAGTAATAGAAGTATGAGTAGGAGTAATAATAATCGTAATAGCAGAAACTTCAGGGGCCATCCAGTTCAACTCTCATCCAACCTTTGTAGTAGTAGTTGTTGTTGTAGTAATAGGAGCAACCCCAGGGACCATCCGGTCAACCCCCTTATGCCATGCAGGAAAAGCACAAAGTGGCGCTGTCAGATGTCAATCCAGCCTCTGTAGTAATAGTAGTAGGAGTAGTCAGGGGCAGCTCATCCATTACGCAAAGTAAGCGGTTGCAGAACACATTTTTTTGCCAGGGGCGCAGAGGCGCCTCTGTAAATGCCCCTCGACTGCCACTTGAGGAGCGCCCCCTCAGCTCACAACAGCCCTAGCAGTCCGGGGGGAGCCTCGGCTTTCTTGCCTCGCTGCCTGGGCGATCCTCTTCCCAAAGGGGCCGGGCCCTTGAGCCTCGCCTAGCCCCTCTCGTTCCTGCTCCACCCGGCCACCGGGTGCGCGAGCAGAGCCGGCGCTCAATCGTTCTCCGCGTTCGATCCCTTCCCCATGACCGGCTCCCTTTCCCGATCCCCCGGCGCTCCACCCGCCTCCTCTCCTCTCCCCAATCCGCAGGTGAGCCAAGGGGCGGAGCCGCCGTGCCTGGCCCGCTTCGGGTCCGGAGGCGTGTCTGAAGACCCCAGCGTGCGCACCAAAAGTCACCTCTTCTCCTGACTTTCTCTTCAGCCATTGGGACCAAGAGAGAGAGAGAGAGAGAGCCCCTCCGGCTGGAGGTATCTCCCACCTCCGCTCCCTCCTTTGTTTTTGCGCCTACCTTCAGGAAAAGTGGGCATCTCCACCTCTCTCTCTCTCTCTCTCTCTTGGTCCCAATGGCTGAGGAGAAAGTCAGGAGAAGAGGTGACTTTTGGTGCACACGCCGGGGTCTTCAGGCACGCCTCCGGACCCAAAGCGGGCCAGGCAAGGGAGCAAGTGCGGCAAGTGTAGTTACTGGGATGTATAGTTAACCTACAATCAAAGAGCATTCTGAACTCCACCAATGATGGAATTGAACCAAATATGGCACACAGAACTCCCATGACGAACAGAAAATATATATCAGTGATTGGTTGGGGGGGGGGCACCAAAATACTGTTTGCTTACCATTGAAAAATTACCTAGGGCCGCCTCTGGGAGTAGTAGTAATAATAATCGTAATAGCAGAAACCTCAGGGGCCATCCAGTTCAACTCCCTCCTGCTATGCAGGAAAAACACAATCAAAGCACTCCCTGGGCGGAGGGAGGGAAATAGGGATTTGGAAGCAAACACGGTGAGGCGGGGAAGGGTCTGGGTGGCGAGGAAAAGAATGTGGGCAATAAGGGATGCAGGGGAGAAAGAGTCCGTGCCCCTGAGAACGTTGCTGCTACTGTTTGGGCAGCTCCAAAACAGAAGGAGGAGGAAAGAGGAAATGGAAAGCAGCATGGCACCACGGAGCCCCTGACTATCACTTGTGGAGCCCCAAGGTTTTGTGCTGAAGATGGAAGGCCGACCGGACTCTGTACCCGATTCTTTCCATCAGTGCCTTGAGGCCGTGACTGGATGGCTGCGTGCCAGCAGGTTGAGGGTGAATCCAGCAAAGACGGAGATCCTATGGCTGGGTCAACCGGACAGTGGGGATATCCAGCTGCCTACCCTGGATGGCGAGGCGCTACGCCCGTCATCATTGGTCAAGAGTCTGGGAGTCCTTTTGGACCCTCTGCTGACAATGGAGGCCCAGGTCTCCGCCGTGAGCAGAACCGCCTTCTTTCACCTGCGGCAGGCTAGACGGCTGGCCCCCTTCCTGTCCAGGGACGACCTAGCTACGGTGATCCAGGCTACGGTCATCTCAGGACTGGACTACTGTAACGCCCTCTACATTGGCCTTCCTCTGTCAGTGATCTGGAAGCTCAAGTTGGTACAAAATGCAGCTGCTCGGCTTCTTGCGGGAATTCCGATGAGATGCCACATAACACCAATCTGACTGCAGCTGCATTGGTTACCAATTGAGCACCAGATCACTTTCAAAGGGATGGGACTCACCTTGAAGGCCTTGCATGGTCTGGGGCCGATGTACCTGAGGGACCGCCTCACCCCCTACCAACCCCAGAGATCCCTCCATTCTGAGGACCAAGATCTATTGGAAATTCCCAGTGTCAAGACCTTGCGTCTAACAGCAACCAGACACAGAGCCTTTACAGCAGTGGCACCATCACTCTGGAATACTCTGCCACCTGAAGTCCGTGCCTTGCGGGACTTATCAGCTTTCCGCAGGGCATGTAAGACATACCTGTTTTGACAGGCCTTTGATTTTTGATAGTGTTGTTTTTAAATTGTTTTAAATTGCTTTTAGATTTTAGCCTGTTCTTGTAAGCCGCTCCAAGCCCCAGGGGAGTGGTGGCATATAAGTTTAAATAATAAATAAATAAATAAATACACACACACACACACACATATATATCTCAGGTATGACCACCCAGTCTTACCCTTGTCTGCCATACAGGAAAAGCAAAATCAAGGCACCCCCAACAGATGGTCACCCAGCTGTTGTAATAATAATAATAATAATAATAATAATAATAATAATAATAATAATAATAATAATAGGAGCGACTCCAGGGACCATCCCCCTTATGCCTTGCAGGAAAAGCACAGTGCGCCCCTGGCAGATGTCAATCCAGCCTCTGTATTAATTGAAGTAGTAGTTGTAATGATAATTGTAGTAACAACAGAAACTTCAGGGGCCATCCAGTTCAGTTGCCTACCGCCATGCAGGAAAAGCACAAAGCACTCCCTGAGCGTTGGGAGGGAAATAGGATTTTGGAAGCAAAGGAGATGAGGGGGGAAGGGTCTGGGTGGTGAGGAAATGAGGTGGGCAATGAGGGACGCAGGGGAGAGTCTGTACTCCTGAGGACGTTGCTGCTACTGTTTGGGCAGCTCCAAAACAGGAGGAGGAGGAAAGAGGAAATGGGAAGCAGCATGGCACGATGGAGCCCCTGACTATCACTTGTGGAGCCCCAAGGTTTTGGGCTTGAGTGTTACCACTACGCTGATGACACTCAGCTGGTGCTGAAGATGGAAGGCCGACCGGACTCTGTACCCGATAATTTCCATCAGTACCTTGAGGCCGTTACTGGATGGCTGCGTGCCAGCAGGTTGAGAGTGAATCCAGCAAAGACGGAGATCCTATGGCTGGGTCGACCGGGCAGTGGGGATATCCAGCTGCCTACCCTGGATGGCGAGGCGCTACGCCCGTCATCATTGGTAAAGAGTCTGGGAGTCCTTTTGGACCCTCTGCTGACGATGGAGGCCCAGGTCTCCTCCGCCGTGAGCAGAACCTTCTTTCTCTCACCTGCGGCAGGCTAGACGGCTGGCCCCCTCCCTGTCCAGGGATGACCTTGCTACGGTGATCCAGGCTACGGTCATCTCAGGACTGGACTACTGTAACGCCCTCTACATTGGCCTTCCTCTGTCGTGATCCGGAAGCTCAAGTTGGTACAAAATGCAGCTGCTCGGCTTCTTGCGGGAATTCCGATGAGATGCCACATAACACCAATCTTACTACAGCTGCATTGGTTACCAATTGAGCACCGGATCACTTTCAAAGTGATGGTACTCACCTTTAAGGCCTGGCATGGTCTGGGGCCGATGTACCTGAGGGACCGCCTCACCCCCTACCAACCCCAGAGATCCCTCCGTTCTGAGGACCAAGATCTATTGGAAATTCCCAGTGTCAAGACCGTGCGTCTAACAGCAACCAGACGCAGAGCCTTTACAGCAGTGGCACCATCACTCTGGAATACTCTGCCACCTGAAGTCCGTGCCTTGCGGGACTTATCAGCTTTCCGCAGGGCATGTAAGACATATGTTTCGACAGGCCTTTGATCTTTGATATTGCTGTTTTTAAATTGTTTTAAATTGTGTTAGATTTTAGCTTGTTCTTGTAAGCCGCTCTGAGCCCCAGGAGAGTGGCAGCATGAAAAACCTGCAAAGCACATTGGCACCATTTAGGAATTTAGCCATGTATAAATATGTGAGAGGAAGCCACAGGGAGGAGGGAGCAAGCTTGTTTTCTGCTTCCCTGGAGACTAGGACGCAATGGAACAATGACTTCAAACTACAAGAGAGGAGATTCCATCTGAACATGAGGAAGAACTTCCTGACTGTGAGAGCCGTTCAGCAGTGGAACTCTCTGCCCTGGAGTGTGGTGGAGGCTCCTTCTTTGGAAGCTTTTAAACAGAGGCTGGATGGCCATTTGTCAGGGGTGATTTGAATGCAATTTCCTGCTTCTTGGCAGAATGGGGTTGGACTGGATGGCCCATGAGGTCTCTTCCAACTCTTTGATTCTATGATTCTATGATCCAGCGGATATTGGCAATCTGGTCTCTCATTCCTCTGCCTTTTCTAAATACACACACACACACACACACACACACACACACACACACACATACATATATATCTCAGGTATGACCACCCAGTCTTTGTAATATTTATTATTATTATTATTATTATTATTATTATTATTATTATTATTATTATTATTATTATTATAGGAGTAGCCCGACTGGCCATCCAGTCTTACCCTTGTCTGCCATACAGGAAAAGCAAAATCAAGTCACCCCCAACAGATGGTCACCCAGCTGTTGTAATAGTAATAATAGTAATAATAAAAATAATACTAATAGGATCAACTCCAGGGACCATCCCCCTTTTGCCATGCAGGAAAGCCTTGGACCCTTTCCTTTTCCCTCTCAGTCACTTAAAATGAGTGGGAATCCATAGCTAGATTTCAGTGCTAGATTACCGCAGTGCAGTCGGCTTGGGGCTGCCCTTGGAGACTTCTTATTGATAAAGACGTGAGACAGAGCTTTCTCGGTCTCTAAACCCATGGTTCCCTTCTTGGTCTCTAAACCCATGAATCCCAAACTCTGGTCCTCAAGGTGTTTTGGACTTCAACTCCCACCATTCCGAACAGTCTCAGGCCCTTTCCTTTTCCCTCTCAGTCACTTAAAATTGTCGCAGCTGTGGTGTTGCTGCTTTATAGTTGGGGTTGACTTCAAGCATTCAAACCCCCTTCTCGGAAGCTGCGCCCCGTTGAGAAGAATAATACAATCCACAGAAGACAAACTTTCTTCCAATAAAGTAAATGTTTATGCAATAGTCACAAATAAAAGATTCAGTCTATTGATCCCAATATTCCAGCAAACCTTCCTTGAGCTTTTACAGGAATCTATTCCTCTTCTTCTAGCTCTTGCTTTCTTCACAGTCTCACCAACAGCATTCTCTGCTCATGCTCTTCTCTACTCTTCTCTATTTCTTCTCAGTCTCTCAATTTGTAGTAGCTAAGCTCTCACAGGTGGCTTGACTGTTCCTGGCCGCACAATGACTGGACATGATTCCTGCAACCGCTTACCCATTTTTCACTTAAGAAATGATCTAAATAACATAAAACTCTGACAAAAATGAGTGGGAATCCATAGCTAGATTTCAGTGCTAGATTACCGCAAGGCAGTTGGCTTGGGGCTGCCCTTGGAGACTCCTTATTGATAAAGATGTGAGATAGAGCTTTCTCAGTCTCAAACCCAGGGTCTGGGTGGTGAGGAAAAGAGGTGGGCAATGAGGGACGCAGGGGAGAAAGAGTCCATGCCCCTGAGGACGTTGCTGCTACTGTTTGGGCAGCTCCAAACTTTAATTTCCCAGGAGGAGGAAGGAGGAAATGGGAAGCAGCATGACTATCACTTGTGGAGCCCCAAGGGCTCCCCGGAGCACAGTTTGAGAACCCCTGATGTAGATGCATGTCTCCAAGCTCTGAGTTATTGACTAGCTGTGCTGTCTTCTTGTTATGTGTGTAACCCTGCAGGACAGTTTGGTTTACATGCTGAACCGAGACCAGCACACCGTCGGCCAAAGGACGCAAGCCAGCAAACCGAGCATTAGCCTCTCCGCTCCGGACATCCTTCCCCTCCACTGCACCATCCGCCGGGTGAAGACCTCCAGCCGATCCCGCCACCATCGCTCGGAAGAGAAGCTGGTCTTGGAGCCCATCCCTGGGGCCGCCGTCTCCATCAACTTCTCCGAGGTGGGCCGGACAGTCACGCTCCACCACGGAGACCTCATCTCCCTCGGCCTCTACTATTTGCTCCTCTACAAGGACCCCTTGAAAACCCAGCCGCTGCCGGCTCAGACTCTGATGCGCCTCCGAGCCGTGCGCCGGGCCTCCGAGCCGGAGCTGCCCTCCGGGTGCAAAATGTGCGGAAACCTCTTGAAAGACAAGGCGGGCCCTTCGTCCAAGAAGCAAGGGGCCCACCACCCACAGGCCCCGTCGGGACGGAGAGGCGGGCGGAGGAAGCTGCAGCTGGAGTTCAACAAGGCCAACGAAGACGTGCTCCTCAAGAGGATCGTCAGCCTCATCGAGCCCACGGGAGACGACCACAAGCTGACGCCGGCGTTTCTCCTCTGCCTTTGCGTCCAGCACTCGGCCAACAACTTCAGGCCTGGGGAGTTCGGCCAGTTGCTTCTCAAGTCGGCCAAGATGATCCAGAGGACTGTGTGGGTCAGTAGCAATTTGGGGTCAGAGTCTGGAGAACTTCCATTGTGGAGGACTATTATAAAACCCAGGATCTGGGGGTTGCAGTCCCCCCAAGAGTACAGTATTTACTTGAATCTAATGCTCAATTATCTTGCCAGACTTAGGGTACGCATTAGATTTGTGTAATACGGTCACCTTAGTGCTGAGCCAAAGGAAAAGGGGAAGATGCTTCAAGAGCGTCTGGAGCTCCTATTTGAGGGATAACACCAGTAATTGAATTGCCATAGGCTCAATGCTATGTAATCCTATGTAAGCCCTTGGAGACTCCTTATTGATAAAGATGTGAAATACACCCTCTCAGCCACTTAAGCTGAGGGGGAATCCATAGCTAGATATCAGTGCTAGATTACTGCAGTGTAGTTGGCTTGGGGCTGCCCTTGGAGACGCCTTATTGATAAAGATATGAAATACACCCTCTCAGCCAATTAAGCTGAGGGGGAATCCATAGCTAGATATCATCTCTAGATTACCACAATGCAGTTGGCTTGGGGCTGCCCTTGGAGACTCCTTTTTGATAAAGATGTGAGATACACCCTTCTCGGTCCCGAAACCCATGATTCCCAAACTCTGGTCCTCAAGGTGTTTTGGACTCCAACTCCCACCATTCCGAACAGTCTCAGGCCCTTTCCTTTTCCCTTTCAGTCGCTTAAGCTGAGGGGGAATCCATAGCTAGATTTCACTGCTAGATTACTGCAATGCAGTTGGCTTGGGGCTGCCCTTGGAGACTCCTTATTGATAAATTTGTGAGATAGAGCCTTCTCGGTCCTTAAACCTATGATTTCCAAACTCTGGTCCTCAAGGTGTTTTGGACTTCAACTCCCACCATTCCTAACACCCTCAGTCCCTTTCCTTTCCTCCCTCAGCCACTTAAGCTGAGGGGGAATCCATAGCTAGATTTCACTGCTAGATTACCGCAATGCAGTTGGCTTGGGGCTGCCCTTGGAGACTCCTTATTAATAAAGATGTGGGATAGAGCCTTCTTGGTCTCTAAACCCATGATTCCCTTCTCCGTCTCTAAACCCACGATTCCCTTCTCCATCTCTAAACCCATGATTTCCAAACTCTGGTCCTCAAGGTGTTTTGGACTCCAACTCCCACCATTTCTAACAGCCTCAGGCCCTTTCTTTCCCCCCTTCAGCAACTTAAGCTGAGGGGGAATCCATAGCTAGATTTCACTGCTAGATTACCACAATGCAGTTGGCTTGGGGCTGCCCTTGGAGACTCCTTATTGATAAAGATGTGAGATAGAGCCTTCTCGGTCTCTAAACCCACGATTCCCAAACTCTGGTCCTCAAGGTGTTTTGGACTTCAGCTCCCACATTTCCAAACAGCCTAAGGCCCTTTCCTTTTTGTGCTCAGCTGCTTAAGATGAGGAGGAATCCATAGCTAGATTTCACTGCTAGATTACCGCAATGCAGTTGGCTTGGGGCTGCCCTTGGAGACTCCTTATTGATAAAGATGTGAGATAGAGCCTTCTCGGTCCCTAAACCCATGATTCCTAAACTCTGGTCCTCAAGGTGTTTTGGACTTCAACTCCCAGATGCCTCAGCCACTTTGGTCAATGGTTGGATATTCTAGGACTGTTAGAGTACCAGAGTTTGGGAATCATTGCCTCAGACTCTAGAGCAGGCATGGGCAAACTTGGGCCCTCCAGGTGTTTTGGACTTCATCTCCTACAATTCCTAACAGCCTGTAGGCTGTTAGGAATTGTGGGAGTTGAAGTCCAAAACACCTGGGAGGCCCAAGTTTGATCTTGCCTGCTCTGTAGCATTGAACCAAGGCAGTTAAAGTGGATTCATTCTACCGCACAGATGCACCCCAAGGTTTCTTTTCCGTTGCTGGAAGTTTTCCGGGCTGCCTGGCCATATTCCAGAAGCATTCTCTCCTGACGTTTCACCCACATCTATGGCAGGCATCCTCTGAGGTTGTGAGGTCTGTTGGAAACTAGGCAAGTGGGGTTCATATATCCGTGGAATAATGTCCAAGGTGGGAGAAAGAACCCTTATCACTTTGAGGCAAGTGTGAAGGTTGCAATTGGCCACCTTGATTATCTTTGAAGAGCCTGACAGCTATTCAATTATGGGGACAATTTCAACAGAAAGGAGGAAACTATGAACACGAACAAAATCTGGCTCTCAGTTTTTTAAAAAAACTCTGAAATAGGGACAGTAAAGAAAGAGAAACAGAGGAATTCCAGATAGGAAACAACTAGGGCCAGCTAACCTCCCAACGAAGCATTCCTCCAGGCAGGAAGCAGCCAGGCTTTGAAGCTACAAAGCCATTAATGCTAATCAAGGTGGCCAATTGCAACATTCACACTTGCCTCCAACAGACAAGAGTTCTTTCTCCCGCCCTGGACATTATTCCACAGGTATACAAACCCCACTTGCCTAGTTTCCAACAGCCCTCACAACTGGGTTGCTGTGAGTTTTCTGGACTGTGTGGCCACGGAAAATGCACAGCAACCCAGTGATCCTGGCCATGACTACACATTGAAGACCTCACAACCTCTGACGATGCCGGCCATAGGTGTGGGCGAAATGTCAGGAGAGAATGCTTCTGCCACATGGCCAGGCAGTCCGAAAAACTCACAGCAAGCCCATAGTTGAAATGCCTTCCATATCTCCTAGAGGTCGTTTTGGAGCAAAAATATTTTCCACAAAAAGAAAAAAAGGAAAAAAAATATTTGCAATGTCTTTATTTCTGCCAAAGGTCTTAGGAGCCAGAAATACAACTAGGGAGGCCCCACTTTGCCAACTTCTGCCCAAAGATTGGCATCATTTGAGCATCTCCATCACTACTTTTTTTCTGGAGAGTATTTGCTTGCTTTAAAGCAGAACCATTGAATCAATTATTGATTTTCTGCAAGGGTTGATGCGTCCACTTCCCCATTGGCCCAGGGAAAGTCTTCCAGTTCAGACTCACAATTGGGTTGAGGCCCAGAGATGGCGGGCTATTTTGGGGGAGGAAAGAAGGAGAAAACCAAAGGATCGAAGCAAAGCATCTGGAATCCGAAACGGCAGCGCTCTGCAGTGCAGCATTTTGTCAAAAATGCACACTGTAGTAGAAAAGCATGCAAGCCCCAAAATGCGGATTTCAGACTGAAACAGATTGGTGCCTTATTTTTTTTCCCCCAAGACTCTCTATTTGTCTTTCTGCATGGCAACCATTCATTTTGGGAAACCTCTTTCATCTGTATCTGCTTCCACCCATTTTTTAAAAATTTGGACTTCTCTGGAAAAGTGCCTAAATCCCTATTCAAATCATAACTGCAATGTATTTATTTATATGTTTATCGTGTCAGGAGCAAGCCAACAGTTGTATTGCATTTTTAAACAAGCAAACAAACAAAACACAAAGTTTGCAAGCTTGGTAGTTGATTAAATGTCCTTTGACCAGTACCTGGCCCTTGGAGTGCCTCTGGTGTTGCCTCAAGAAGGTCCTCCCTTGTGCATGTGGCAGGGCTAAGGGTGCATTGCAGCAGGTGGTCTGTGGTTTGCTCTTCTCCACACTCGCCTGTCATGGATTCCACTTTGTGGCCCCATTTCTTGAGGTTGGCTTCGCATCTCGTGGTGCCTCGAGCCATTAAGAGAGACAGCTAAGAAATAATAATAATAATAATAATAATAATAATAATAATAATACTACGAAGGTTGAATGAAAAGTAATGCCTCCACCTTCGTAACTCTTCAACAGATGGCACTACTGGTATGCGGCAGGTACTGGCTTGTTCAGTAGACTCTCCTCTACAGTTCCATTTTGGCAGGAAGCCTTAGCATTGAATGGTTGTGTTGTTAAAGTGCGAAGAATGGAACCCTGCACAGTACAAGGGTTGAATGAAAAGTAATGCCTCCCCCTTCGTAATCCTCAACAACTCCTCAACGGATGGCAGTACTGGCTTGTTCAGTAGACTCTCCTCTACAGTTCCATTTTGGCAGGAAGCCTTAGCATTGAATGGTTGTGTTGTTAAAGTGCAAAGTATGGAACCCTGCGCAGATGGTCGGTCAATGCGAACTTAAGCAACATGTAGTCATTGAATTCTTGACAGCAGAAGGTGTCACCCCAAAGGACATTCATCAGAGAATGCAAGCTGTTTATGGTGATTGTGTTGATGTGAGTACAGTGTGTTGTTGGGCAAGTAAGTTTAAAGATGTTGAGGTGGGAATATCTGACTTGCATGACAAATAAAGAGTTGGACGTCCTGTGACAGCAACCACTGAGTTTCACAAGCAAAAGGTTGACAGATTGATTCAGGATGATCGTCTTATCACTCAGAGAGAAATTTCAAGTATAATCGGCATTTCACAAGAATGTGTGGGTCACATTATTGCTTTGCTTGGCTATCAGAAGATCTGTGCACAATGGGTACCCAGGATGAGAGAACTGTGAGACGCTGGTTGTGGAAACAGAGTGTCGACTTCTTCCGTGACGGCTTCAGAAAACTTGTTCATCGTTGGCAGAAATGTATCCAATTGTCTGGTGATTATGTGGAAAAGTGAATAGTGGTAGTTAAAGAGCACATTCTAAGGATTATTTCTGTGTTTGATTTATTAAAATATTCCCATCCAAACCCAAATAACGAAGGTGGAGGCATTACTTTTCATTCAACCCTCGTATGTAAGGAATGCCATACAGTTGGGACATGGTTATAAGAAGGAGTAATGCAACAAAGCAAATATAGATTTGTCTTTTCCTTTTCTTGTGTCTCTGAAGCATGGATTCATTTCGAACTGTTTCCTTTGTTTTTGTCTCTTGATTCCAGGAGAAAACGAACGAGCTCGCAGAGAAGCAATCCCAACAGTAAGTCTTCCAAAGCTAGATTTCATGTGCTAGATTACCGCAGGGCCTTTGGCTTGGGGCTGCCCTTGGAGACTTCTGTTGATCAAGATGTGAGATAGAGCTTTCTCAGTCCCTAAACTAATGGTCCCCAAACTCTGGTCCTCAAGGTGTTTTGGACTTATTTCACCCGCTAGATTACTGTACGGCCTTTGTCTTGGGGCTGCCCTTGGAGGCTCCCTGTTGATCAAGATGTGAGATAGAGCTTTCTCAGTCTCTAAACTAATGGTCCCCAAACTCTGGTGCTCAAGGTGTTTTGGACTTATTTCACCCGCTAGATTACCACAGGGCAGTTGGCTTGGGGCTGCCCTTGGAGACTCCCTATTAAGCGGCTGAGGGGGGGAAAGGAAAGAATCTGAGGCCAGAAATGGTGGGAATTGAAGTCCAAAACACCTGGAAGGCCAAAGTTTGCCCATGCCTGATCTAGATCTCCTTCCAAAAAATGTCCTGCATTGTTTTAAGCTGAACTGTTTGTATCTTTTCTAATGGCATTTCATTCCTTCTGGAGTCGGTTTAATCCCTTTTGTAAACAGCTTGATTCTATTGTATCGTTCGTATGTTTTAGCTGTTCTGCTTCTTATTTCAAATGTAAGCTGCTTTGGGTTCCAGTTTGGGGTGAAAGGCAATATAATCGTAATCATAAAAGAGGTTGCTGTGAGTTTTCTGGGTTGTACGCCCATGCTCCAGAAGCATTCTCTCCTGACATGTCACCCACATCTATGGCAACAGACAAGAGTTCTTTCTCCCACCCTGGACATCATTCCACAGATATATAAACAGGAAGTAAGCAGCCAGACCTTGAAGCTGCAAGGCCATTCGATGCTAACCAAGCTGGCTAGTTGCAACATTCAAACTTGCCTCCAACAGACAAGATTCTTTCTCCTACCTTGGACATCATTCCACAGATATATAAACAGGAAGTAAGCAGCCAGATCTTGAAGCTGATAGGTCATTAAATGCTAATCAAGCTGGCCAATTGAAACATTCACACCTAACTCCAACAAACAAGAGTTCTGTCTCCCACCCTGGATATTCCACAGTGATATAAACAGGAAGTAAGCAGCCAGACCTTGAAGCTGCATGGCTAGCCAGTTGCAACATTCACACCTGCCTCCAACAAACAAGAGTTCTTTCTCCCACCCTGGACATCATTCCACAGATATATAAACAGGAAGTGAGCAGCCAGACCTTGAAGCTGCATGGCTAGCCAGTTGCAACATTCACACCTGCCTCCAACAAACAAGAGTTCTTTCTCCCACCCTGGACATCATTCCACAGATATATAAACAGGAAGTGAGCAGCCAGACCTTGAAGCTGCATGGCTAGCCAGTTGCAACATTCACACCTGCCTCCAACAAACAAGAGTTCTTTCTCCCACCCTGGACATCATTCCACAGATATATAAACAGGAAGTGAGCAGCCAGACCTTGAAGCTGCATGGCTAGCCAGTTGCAACATTCACACCTGCCTCCAACAAACAAGAGTTCTTTCTCCCACCCTGGACATCATTC